ACCTCTGTGCTGACCTCCGCTCTGACCTCGGCTCTGACCTCTGCTCTGACCTCTGCTCTGACCTCTGTGCTGACCTCCACTATGACCTCGGCTCTGACCTCTGCTCTGACCTCGGCTCTGACCTCTGTGCTGACTTCCGCTCTGACCTCGGCTCTGACCTCTATGCTGACCTCCGCTCTGACCTCGGCTCTGACCTCCGCTCTGACCTCGGCTCTGACCTCTGTGCTGACCTCCGCTATGACCTCGGCTCTGACCTCGGCTCTGACCTCTGCTCTGACCTCGGCTCTGACCTCTGTGCTGACCTCTGCTCTGACCTCTATACTGACCTCCGCTCTGACTTGGGCTCTAACCTCTGTGCTGACCTCGGCTCTGACCTCGGCTCTGACCTCGGCTCTGGCCGAAGGCACTTTCGGGGCCCAGGAGGTGACCGTGCTTCTTGGCGGAGGACCCTGCTGATTCCAGTCTGGCCTCGTGGGCGTCTGCAAACCGCACAGGAGGAGGAGGAGGCGGGGAAAGAGGCGACTCTCGGGTTGTGTCCTGGGAAGGTCCAGGTGGCTCCCCAGGCCGCCGCCTGACCAAGCGCTTCGTCTGGGACACCACCCCTTCGCGGCACACCCGCGCCCACCCCGTCGCCGGGCCCCCAGGGCAGCCGCGGGCGGGGCAGCCTGGAACGCCACCCCTCCTGGGGCTGTGACCGCTTCTCAGGGCAGGAAAGCCCTGGGTCTGGCCCCCTCCCCGCTTCCCCTAGGACACTCCCAGTCAGCCAGCCACCCACAGGCCTGCTGGGGGGGAGGACGGAACAGGGCCCAAACATCCCCCCTCAGGCTCAGCCTGACTGCAGATGCGTCTCCTCGCCTTTGAGACGAGCCTGGGACCTGATGCGATCTCAGGAGAGCTTTCAGAGGCTGCAGGGCAGCAGACTAATCACAGAGGACGTGGCTAAGCCAGCCCTGCCCTTTGAGAGCTCTGAGAACTGATTTTATCAACAGAGCAACTGTCCGGAAGGCTCCAGGGCCTGGAAGGGAAGACACGGGCAGGAGTGAGGACCCACCCGCCCGCCTTGTCCTGCATGGCTGCCCTAGAGCCTGGACGGGCAGGGCGGTCAGCAGCCCCACACCAGGCTCAGAGCCCGGAGTAAGCCTGAGCTGGTCTCAGCTCCTGGTTGGCCCCACATTCTCCTCCTGCAGAGGACGGACAGGACACAGCAAGTGTCCCCACCTGACCCACCGCCCCAGGGGACTGGGACCCCCAGGGAGAGTGAGTCCAGCCGTGGAAGGCCCGCAGGAGGAGCAGGGAGCCCAGGGCAGAGTGTCCACCCCGGGCAGGAGGTTAACGGGGCCCCACAGGCAGGCCGAGGTAAGGACACACCCATTGGGGCCACAGGAAGGGCCCTGGGCAAACCGCCCTGGCTTGACCTCGTGGGAAGGGCTGACAGCAGCCTGGCAGAAGTCATACCAGAGCAGCAGCACCATCACGGCACACATCAGGCCCAACAAATGGTGGACGACAACGAGGGGGCCCCAGGGAACGTCCCCCGGGGATGGTGAATGACAGCCCCACGACCAGAAGGACGGGGGGGCGGGGCACGCCAAGGACATCACAGCGGATGTCACGGAGCAGGAATGGTGACTAATACAGCCCCACAAGGGGATGGGGGGGCGGCCACACTGCCGACATCACAGCCGACGTCACAGCCGACGTCACAGCGGCTCCAGCCTGAGCCTCAGGGAGATGGAAGCATCGGCTTGGCGGGTGCCAGGGGCTGGTGACATGTCCTCGGGGGTCCCCGCCAGGCCCAGGGGCTTGGGGCCACTGCTTCCCAGGATCCCCTCTGAGCTGGATTGTTGCCGGGGGTCCTCCAGGACCAGGGCTGGCTGGGCTGTGGGCAGAGGTCTGGATTCAGCCCAGGGTGCCCCCTCCCCAGGGATCCGGCCCCTCTCTCCGGGTCAGTGCTCAGCCCCTCGCCCACCATCACGGCTTCTCGTCTGCACTGTCCTAGCCAGCGGGGGCCTCACTGGGCTGCGGTGCCTGCAGGTGGCAATTGCGTTGCGTCCAGCTGTGGCTTCGGCCTGAGACAAGTGTGATGCTCCACCTGCAGATTCTTAACTCCAGGCGTCCTGAAACCACACCCCTGCTGCTGGGGGTGGGGGACGACTTGCTTCCCTCACCACATGCCCCCCAGCAGCAGGCAGGCAGCCTCTCCCAGGTGCCCAGGCTTGGCCGGGGGCCCACTCCCCACCCCCGCGGCAGCCGGCAGGACTGGGAACCCAGTGGGGGTGGGGGAACGGCCCCGAGTGGGGGCTTCTGCCTGCAGCCCAAAGACGGGGGACCCCAGCCTGAAGCAGCTTCCCTGGAAAGGGCCGGGCGGCTGGAGTCCAGCGGTGGGTGCAGCTTTAGCCTCTGGGCCTGGTGGGCTCCGTCAGCAGGCGGCTGGGACGGTCCCTCTGGGGCTGAGGCTGCAGAAGCCTGGGCAGAGGAACCTGGCGGGCTGCGGTCCGCGGGACTGCAAGAGGCCGGACTGAATCGGCCGAGCACACACGCGCTGAGGAGGCAGCCCCTGCGGGACCCGGCCGGCACGGAGAGAAGGCAGAGTTCCAGGGCTTTCTCCAGAGGAAAAGGCCTGCGGAGGCCAGAGTGCCTCTGGCTGGTGAGCCCAAGCACCAGGCAGATGCCCCTGTTTCCCGAGCCGGCCTTCCGGCCCCTCCTGGCTGGGCTCCAGCGGCGAGGGCACCCTGAGATCCGGGAGCAGGTCTCTCCTCCCTCCCAGCCTCCTCAGGCCTGTTGCTGAGGCCCCCGGGGCTCACTGGACATTTGGGACGCCCTCGACCCTGTCTGGTCAAAGAGGGATGCACACCGGCTCCACGGGGGCTGCATGTCACAGGGACCTGACTGCCCCGGGCGGGGGGATGCCAACGATGCTGGCAGCCAGGCCCAGAGGCTGAGCTGAGCAGGACAGGGTCCCTCTGGCTCCTTGGGGTGCCCTGAGCTGGGAGCCAGGCAGATGGGCAGGCGTCCCTGCTGGGGCTGGCGGACGGCGCTGCAGGAGGCAGGGTCCCGGGCTGGGGGGCCTTTGGGCACCTCTGAGGTCACACCCCCCCCAGGCAAGGGACTCTGCTCTCATCCTGCAGTCCAGATGCAGGAGAGGCCTCGTGGGGCCGGCAGAGCAGCTGTCACTGGGGAATAGGAGTCCCAGGGGCCTTTCTGAGGAGCAGGCGGGGGTCCCCCAGCTGAGCTGACGACGGCAGCAGACGGTGCCCAGGAGGCAGGAGCAGTGAACAGAGGGCAGCCCGAGCCAGGGCCAGCCCATCCGAGCCGCCCGGGGCCCCGGGATGGTCTGCCACGACCTGCGCCTCAGGGACAGGGGCCCAGTCTCCTGTTGGCTGTCTGTCCGGCTGTGGGCAGACAGGTAGCCAGGCAGGCGCAGTGGCCACTCTCTGCAGACTTCAGTCCAGTTCAGTTCAGTCTCTCAGTCGTGTCTCTGTGAGACCCCACGGACTGCAGCCCGCCAGGCCTCCCTGTCCATCACCAACTCCCGGAGTCTACTCAACTCATGTCCATCGAGTCAGTGATGCCATCCAACCACCTCATCCTCTGTCGTCCCCTTCTCCCGCTTCAATCTTTCCCAGAATCAGGGTCTTTTCCAATGAGTCAGTTCTTTGTATCAGGTGGCCAAAGTGTTGGAGTTTCAGCTTCAGCATCAGTCCTTCCAAAGAACATCTAGGACTGATTTCCTTTAGGATGGACGGTTGGATCTCCTTGCAGTCCAAGGGATTCTCAAGAGTCTTCTCCAACACCACAGTTCAAAAGCATCAATTCTTCAGCGCTCAGCTTTCTTCACAGTCCAACTCTCACATCCATACATGACCACTGGAAAAACCATACCTTTGACTAGACGGACCTTTGTTGGCAAAGTAATGTGTCTGCTTTTTAATATGCTGTCTAGGTTGGTCATAACTTTCCTTCCAAAGAGGAGACTTCAATATACACCCTGTTTTTGCACCCACTGCAGGCCACCTGGAGGCCTTGCTTGGTGAGGCTGAGGAATGATGGCCACTGTCCCCCCAGAACAGGGCCACGTGGGGGACACAAGACCCGGGAAAGAGCAGGCCGGGATGCGGGCTGCCCTCCAGGGCCCGGGAGGCGGGCGGGCGGGGCCTCAGTCCTGGCGCCCCCGTTGATGGGACCCTGCGAGGCGGCGGCTACTGTCCACGCCGGCCCCACCTCTGCTGCCGCCACCCCCAGCACAGGGTGCCAGAGGAGCAGGCCCGTCCTTGGGGCCCTGGCAGCCAGAGCGAGTGGGGTGTCCTGGCTCCCTCCCCAGCTTCTGGGTGAGGGTGTGGGTGTGGGTGCTAACGCTGCCCCGGCTGGGTCCACACCCTTCCCGAGCGCCCTGGTGGGTGAGCACCCCCATGTTGCCCCAGGGAGACCCCACCTCCGCTCACCTGCGTCTCTGCTGTGTGACCCTCATGGGGTTCATCGAGTCCGAGTCAAGAGCTTCCAGCGTCAGAGACCTCGAGGGGTTTCCTGAGATGTCTGGCTGTGCCCTGGGGCCACGCGCTCAGAAGGTCAAAAAAACAGATCCGAAGAATGCAGAGGCATGCCGCCAAACCATGAGCAACAAAAATAAAACGGACGAATTGGAAATATCAAAATGAAAAGGACACCATGAGAAAAGGGAAAAGAAAGCCCATAAGATGGGAAAAATATTTGCAAATTATATATCTGATAAGGAACTTTTATCCATAATATATAAAGAACATTTACCACTCAATGATTAGAAGGACAAAGATTCAACAGACAGCTCTTCAAGGAAGACATGCAAGAGAAGAGCATGCAAAAAGGTGCTGGACGTCATCACCCACCCGGTAGACACAAACCAGAACCAGAGACACCACGTCGCATGCACCAGGATGGCTGGAACCAGACACGCAGGGGCAGGTGTCCGCCGGGGCATGGAGCCTCCCCCATGGCTGGGGTTGGGAGTGCGCAGTGCGTAGAGAATGCTGGGCCTCAGCGCGTTCGCTTCCCGAAATGTGAGACAGAGGCCCCTAGGGGCCCAGAGAGCCCACCCCTGGTGCCAGCCCGAGAGCACTGGAAACCCATCCACTGGCTTGTGTGTGAGCGTCCACAGCCGCCTGAAAGCAGAGCTACGCGAGCGTGCAGCAGCGTGTACACGGGTGGACAGAATGGGGCCCACCCGCACCACAGAGCGCCACTCAGGCCAGAGGAACGGTGTGCCGATGTGCTAAACACAGATGAAGCCTGGATGCGCTACAGGGCGTGGAGGAAGCCGACGCCCAGGGCACATGCCACAGGATGCTCTTCCTGTGAAATGTCCCGAGTAGGGTGATCCACAGAGGGTGGACATGCCCCCGGCAGCTGGGCGTAGGAAGATGGGCACGACGGGGTTTCCCTCTGAGGCGACCCTCAGAGGTGGTCGTGCACATCCATGAAAACACCAGCAGTCATGGGCCGTACAGAGCACGTGGGCAAACTGTGGGGCGCGTGCACTGAAGAACGTGCGTGAGGGATGAGGTTCAAAGTCGCCAGCAAGCCCAGGTCCACGTGGACAGGGTGAGGCTTCTGCTTTACAGTCCCGCTGCCCAGCGCTCTGTGACAGGGTGGCCGTGAGGATGGACGCCAGGCAGCCAGGGGAGGCCAGCCTCACTCCCACCCTCCCAGGACTGGATCATGTGACCCTGCAGGTGACAAAGACCAGAGCCTCTGTGGAAAGGACGAGGCTCACCAGTCTCTGCCAGCACAGCTGGCGGGCATCCTCGCCAACACCCCCACTGCAGGGTGGGGGGCCAGCGGGCATGTGGGGCCCCTCCAGGGGTGGGTCCTCAGGCAGAGACGCAGCCGATCCCTGAGCTGCTGCCTGGTGTGGATGTGAACGCGGTGCGTTCAGAAGGGCTGCCGTCTCCCCCGCCGCCACTGTGCTTAACACACTATACTATTGTTATCGTCACAAAGACATTGACAGGGCACGTGAAACCGCAAGATGACGAACTGCTGCACTCTCTTGCCTCTCTCTCTTTAGTTGCTCAGTTGTATCCGGCTCTTACGACCCCATGGACTGTACCTCGCCAGGTTCCTCTGTCCCTGGGATTCTCCAGGCAAGAATCCTGGGGTGGGTTGTCATTTCCTTCTCCAGCTGCACTCTCAGTTGGGGGTTAAAGGCCATGGTGGAGGCGGAGGAGAGCGGGGAGAGCCAGGGAGCATTGCTGGGAGAGAGAGGCCTGGGGCCCCACCGGGAGCTGGGAGGCATGCGGAAGGCGGCCACCGCTGGGTCAGCGCAGGGCCCCTGCAGGGCCTGCCTCCCAGGGCTGGGAGGGGAGGGGGGTCCGGCTTGAAGGATGCGGCCCCCTCTCGGGCTGCCCTTCAGCTGAGGTCTTTCGGAAGGGACGGTGGGAACGGCTCGTGGGCCAGGCTATCCATGGCACTGTTTATGACCCATGTTCACACCTTCACGGGCAACTTGCTTCCCGGCCGAGGGGCAGCCTGGGTCAGGAGCGGGACTCCAGGTCACCCTCCCATCCAGACCAGCTGTGCGACTCTGGGAGCCATGGGGCACCTGTGGTGGAAAGTTGTCAGTCGCTCAGTCGTGTCCAAATCTTTGGGACCCCGTGGACTGCAGCCCACCAGGCTCCTCTGTCCATGGGGTTCTCCAGGCAAGAATACTGGAGGGGGTAACCGTTCCCTTCTCCAGGGGATCTTCCCCACCCAGGGACTGGACCCAGGTCTCCTGCACTGGTGGCTCAGCTGGGAAAGAATCCACCTGCAAGGCGGGAGACCTGAGATTGATGGGCATGGCAACCCACCCCAGTATTCTGATCTGGAGAATCCCACGGGCTGTGTAGTCCATGGGATTGCAAAGACTCGGACACCACTGAGCGACTTTCACGTTCTCTTTCTTTATAATGTGAGCCCCAAGGGAAGCCCTGGAGCACCTGGACCCTCTAAAATGGGTCAGCATCAGCACCCACAACCGGACAGCCTGAAGCCTGGAGCACAGAGCACACGCGAAGTGTCCCTGCACTCGGCTGGACAAGAGGCTAGTCAAGGTGTGTTGTCCCGGAGGTGAGGGGTGTGGGGGGACCTGGTGGGTGTGGGGGCTGCAGCTGGGGAGGCCAGCTCCTTGAGGGAGTCGGCCAGGCCCTGGGCAGGGAGGGACCTCACCCACCACCAGGACGCAGGCGGCCCTGGGCCACGTGGGTCACCCACAGAGATGGAGACGTGGCCGTGACTCGGGACACCAGGCGCCTGTTGCAGGAGACGCAGGCGCTTGGTGGGTGAGGGGGCTCGGCTGAATCGAGGGGAGAAGCTGAGTGGCAGTGGCAAGCCGGGGTTCAAGGAGGCGAGACGGGGCAGTTTTTGGGAAGGAAAACTCGGAAGCTTTCCAGTAAGGTAGGGGCCGGTGAAGGGGGTGGGGCTGCAGGGGAAGAGCTGGAAGGGAGCGGGGGCTGAGTGCCGACTCCCTCCACTGCCCAGGAGCTCAGCAAAGGCCAAGGGCTGAAACCAGGCCACCCTGGTCCTTGCCTGTCCTTGATTAACACAAGGTAGAAAGAGGCCGGCAGGTCCCCAGCCGCCGTGCTAGGACAGGCAGTTGGCTTTTCCCAGAGACCCGATCCGCACCTCCTGTCCTTCCAAAGGACCCTCCCCATGGGCCTCTCGCCCATGTCTCGCCCTGTCTGACCCCCACCCTCTCCCCAAGACCAGCTCCACCAGCAGCCTGGCACGTCCCCTCTAAGGTCCCCTCCGGCGAGGGGCAGGGGCTCTGGGGTACCTCTCGAATTGGGGATGCTAGGATACGCCGTGAGAGAGAGGGTGGGGCTGGGAGCTGTCCCCGCGAGAGTCCACCGCAGCCCCCGACTACCTTATAGACCTCCCGTCCGGGGTCCCCTGGCGGGCGGCGCCGCCCCCACGCCCAGGGCTTGGCTCGCGACCCCCAAGGAGGCGGGCCGGAGGCCGGGCCCGTGCGCTGCGGGCGGCGGCCGCGGGGGGCGCTGCGGGGGCCGCGGTTAAAGCCGGGGCGCGGGCGCGCGCGCTCAGAGGGAGCCGGGACGCCGCCGCCGCCGCCGCGCCGCGCCCCCGCCCGCCCGCCCGCCCGGCTCCGCGCCCCGCGGCCGCCCCGACCCCGCGCGCCGGGTCTCCGCGGCCCCCGCGGACGCCTGGACCCGCAGCGGATCACGGCCGGCGCCGGGAGCGCGGGCGGGCGGGCGGGCGGGCGGCGACATGGGGAAAATCCAGTCCAGGCACGGTGAGTTGGGGGCCGGCGGGCGGGCGGGTGGCGGCGGACGGGCGCCGGCCACTCACTGTCCCTTCCCTCTCCCCGCGCCCTCCGGCCGCGCCGCAGCCGCTGCAGCCTTCAAGCGAAGAGAGAGCCCGGAAGGTGAGCGCGCGGGGCGGCGGCCGGGGCGCGGGGGACCGAGCCCGGAGGGCGGCGCGCGTGCTGCCCCCCGAGGCCTCGGGTGGCGGGGGGCGGGGAGGTGCCTCGGCGCCGCGCCCCCAGGAACGCGCGGGCTCCTCGCCCACGCCCCAGACCCCTGTCCCAGCCTGGGGCCTGAGTCCAGCGCCCCAGGCTGCGCGGAGAGGGGCGGGCGCGCAGGGCGGCGGGCATCGCCAGGCGCACCGCCCGCGGGCTCACGGGCGTCTCCTTCTCTCCTCGGTGCCGCGTTCCCCCGCGTCCGCCTGCGGGCCCGCAGGGGACAGTATCGTGGTGTCTGCGTACATGGGCGGCCGCAGAGGCGCAGAGGAGGCGGAGCGGCGGGGCTGCGCGGAGCACGGCGCCAGGGACAAGCAGGTAGGCGTGGTGGGCCCGGCGGGCTACTGGGGCCGCGAGCACCGGAGCTCAGCCCCTGACCGCGACCCGGGTTCCGGGGACAAAGAAGGCGGAGGCGCAGATGGCCGGCAGACGGACTGCGGCGGGGCCTGGAGAGCCCCTCCCGCTCCCTGGTGGGGGGGGGGGGGCCTGTGGCCGCAAGGCCTGCGTATCCCAGGCGGGAGGGGGGGGCGCGGGACTCGACTTTTCCTTACGATCCATGCGCTGCACAGCCGTGGTGGCGAGTTAAAGACCACCACGCTGCCCGTTTGCCGTGTCGGAGGGCCGCTGGGCTCACGGGAAAGCCAGGCTTCAGAGGGATGGACGGGCCCCCCAGACTGAAGGTGCTGCTTTTAGCATCAAGGCCCCCACTCAGGACCCAGGTTCCTGCGACTGGGCGTGGAGGGTGTCCATCCAGGCCTGGGGTGCCAGAGGGGCCTTGGGTGAACCAGACCCCACGCGTCTGCCAGGGTGGGTGATTCCGGGCACCGGTGTGGACTGAGTTCGGGTAGATGGCCAGGCCAGACGGCTGAGACCCCTCCCCGCCAACCGCTCGCTCCCTAGCGGTCCCCGGAGTCCACTGCATCCCTAGCGGTCCCCGGAGTCCACTGCATCCCTAGCGGTCCCCGGAGTCCACTGCATCCCTAGCGGTCCCCGGAGTCCACTGCATCCCTAGCGGTCCCCGGAGTCCACTGCAGACAGCGCGCCCGCTGAGGGGCGCGGCCGCTCCCTTTTTGGAAGGACGCTCTCTGGCCAGCTGGCAATGAGACGCTCAGAGGGCGCTCATAAACGCTTGGGAGAAGGGGCAAGACGCGCCCTAAGATCAGATCCACTCGAGTCGCGACTCCTGCTTTCTGGGAGTCAGGTTTGAATCCCACGCCTGTAAAGGCAGGAACCGCGTTCGAGGATTTGCTGGGCATGTCACAGTGCGGCTGGCGGCTGTGTGCTCTTTGGGGCCGGGGGGCCAGCGCAGGGCCGCCCCTCCTCTGGGCTGATGGTGTCTGCCTGGGGAGGTGAGTGTTGGTGATGGGGTGCTGTCTCCTGCCTGCTTGGTCCTCCTGCGCGTGAGGAGTCAGAGATGCCTGCAGGTGATGCAGGCGGTCCCGGGCTCACGCCGTCTCTTCCTGGTGGCCGTCCACCTGGGCCTTCTCCCGGGCGTGGGCACCTTGGGCCTTGAAACAGGTGGGCGAGCCTCCGTCAGCCCAGGGTGTGGACCACACAGCAGGTCCCAACACGCAGCCTGTGAGTGTTATGGAGGTCGAAAACAATGCTCCGGCTGCGTGGCTGTGAGGTGGTGGAGCCCGCTGTGCTGGCCTCTGAGGCTCATGGGTTTCACGCTCCTGGGACGTGTTTGAAGGAGCGGTGTGCTGTGTGGCTCGGGTGGTTCCCTCATTGTTTTGTTCTCTGCTGTAGTCTGAATGTTGGCGTCACCCTGAAATTCAGCCTCACCTCCCTCCATGTGATACCTTGGGGAGGCGGTTAGGGCCCGGGGGCCGAGACCTCGTGGCAGATCAGCGCCCATGTGAGCCCCAGAGCGCTTGGTGTCCCGTCTACCATGCGGGGTGACAGGCAGCGGGCACCACCTACGCAGAGGGGAGGGACCCTCGCCAGACGCCGAGGGGCTGGGGCCTCGGTCTCGGACGACCTGCGGCCTCGGTCTCGGACGTCCAGGCTCCTCGGTCTCGGACGTCCAGGCGCCTCGGCCCCAGACGTCCGGCCTCCAGGACTGTGTGATGAATTTGTCTTGTTCGCTCGTCACTGGCCTGCAGTGTGTTGTGGCGGCCAGCACGGACTGAGTCTGCTTTCACAACCTCGCGGTGCAGGGAGAGCATGGAACCAGAACAGTGGATGGTCCTTTACGTTTAGTACACTTCATCGTTCCCTATCTCCTTCCGTCCTGGAGTGTGGACCCCCGGCCCGGGAGCTCAGGCATCTTGCTGCCACCCTGCTACCCCCACTGAGCACCCCGCCCCTGGCTCCCCCAGAGCGTGTCGGTCAGGGGACACTGGGGTGTCGGCTCTCCCTCTGTCCCATCTCCGGCCCCATCTTCATCCCTGCCCCCCGGGGGAGGCCCCAAGGATGGTCTGCCTGACCGTGCCGTGCCCCCAGGACCTCTGGCTGGGGCCGGTGTGGGGACACATCCCCTCCTGTCAAGGCCACCGTGTGCTTCCTTGCGGGTCAGTGATGGTCGCCGTGTGGCCACAAGAACTGTGGCCAGTGACCCTGTGGGAACTAGGTGCACACCCCCCCCCAACTCGCCCTCTCCCACCACCCCCACAAGATACAGGGAATGAGGCTGAGGTTGCCCATGAGTTAGTGAGCCCGGCTGGCTCCTGGTGCATGACCAGAATGTCTGGTAAACGTTGTTTTCCCGGCAGGTGGATACCTGCTTCATGAGCTGGAAGGTCCTCCCTGTGAACCTGAGAAACGCTCAGTGTTGCTTCAAGGCCACATGTCCCAAGGGGCTGGGGCGGCCACGGGGCGTTGGTGGGGGTGACACAGAGGGTCCTGGGAAGGGCAGTTGTGGGGTGTTATGGGGGAGACAGCTCCTTGGAGGGACTGCAGTGCGTGGGCCTGAGGCCTCCCGGCCTGTCTTCCCAGCTTTGGAGGACAGGGCTGGGGCCCTTCCTCTCCTTCCCTTGGTTTGTCTGAAGTGATTTTAGCTGTTTTAAAACCGAGTGTGGTGCCCACGGGTGTCTCCTGGCGTGTTCCCAGAGCCCGAGGCATAGTTCTGGTTCCTTTGGGAGCTCGGTGGGTGGTGGAGGCCTTGAGTCAGTGGCTTCTGGGACCCTGTGGCCCCTGACCCCATGGCCCCTGACCCCGCGGCCCCTGACTCCACGGCCCCCTCGCTTCTGGGGTGGGCAGGTCGGGTGCCCTCAGCCGCAGGCCCAGTGCCGCCGCCCAGAGGGAGGCCCCCAGCTGGAACCCGGTGCGGGGCCTGCAGTCAGCTCCGCCCTCCTGCCAGGGGTCCTCCCCCAGGAGGGCGCCGAGGTGTGCTGGCCTCCTGACTGCTGTGAGGGGCATCCTGGCCCTCTTCCTGCGGCTTGTCCCGGGGAAGGACTGTGCACGTCGTCTGGGTGCCTGGACAGAGGGACGTCCACAACTGTGCTGAGGTTCTGTGGGGAAACCTGGAGGGGGGTGCGAGGTGAGAGCAGGGCTCCTGCGCTGGGGATTCATCTGCTGCTCCCAGACCACGTGGCTGCCCTGGGACCAGGGCCGCTTCTGAGACGAGGTCATTGGTAACAGAGACGTTTTCCAAAGAATAAAGGCACGAGGTCAGCAGGTCCGTGAAAAGGTGCTGGACATCCTAGTCATCAGGACCACAGCGAGGCGTCACCTCCACCTGTCGGGACTGCTGTCACCAGAAGAACACAAGTAACAAGCGCTGGAGAGGATATGGAGAGAAGGGAACCCTGCTCCACTGTTGGAGGGGACGTAAAACGGTCCAGCCACTGTGCAGAACGCTATGGAGACCCCTCAGCAATTAAACACAAGTGCCAGGTGGTCCAGCGGCCTCCCTCCTGGGTGCACGTCCGGAGAAAGCAGAACCAACTCCAGGAGGTGATGTGCAGCCCCACGCTCCCTGCAGCGTCGTTCACAGTGGCTTTGACAGAGGCTGAAGCCGAAGCTCCAGGACGTTGGCCACCTGATGGGAAGAACTGACTCAGTGGAAAAGACCCTGATGCTGGGGAAGATTGAAGGTGGGAGCAGAAGGGAATGACAGAGGATGAGATGGTTGGAGGGCATCACCAACTCAGTGGGCATGAGTTTGAGCAAGCTCCAGGAGATGGTGAAGGACAGGGAAGCCTGGCGTGCTGCAGTCCCTGGGGTCACAAAGAGTCAGACATGACTTAACTGAACAACAAGACAGAGAAGCAACATCCTTTGATGGTGGGTGAATGGAAAAGAAGATGCGGTGTATGTACAATGTACTCAGCCATAAAGAAAAAAATCTTGCCCCAAACATGGATGGACCTTGAGGTCATGGTGCTAAGTGAAGTAGGTCAGAAAGAGAAAGACAAATGCTGTGTGACCGCTCACGTCTGAGGACTAGAAATACGTAAATATGTTTATAAGACAAGCTTCCCGCTGCAGAGAATGAACTGCAGGTTGTGGGAGGTGAGGGTGAGGGTGGGCAGAATGGGTAAGGGCTGCTGAAAGGTTTCAGCAAGGCAAGTGCACGTCTGCTCAGGACTCTCTGTATCTTTCACGGGTGGCTTCGCAAATGAATTGTTCTTGAGTCGATTTTGGTTCCTGTTTGTGAAACGGGGAGGGGTCGCTGGTCTTTGCTCCGACCCCAGGGGTCTGGTTGCAGCCACAGAGCCGGGTGCGGGTGTCGCCTCCCTGTGGGTAGTGGAGGTAGCGGAGCCCGCATTGCTTCTCAGAGCAGCTCAACCCTCAGGGTCCTGGGCTGAGAGCAAGTGTAAGCCTTTAGCGTCTCCAGCAGGCTTACCTCTTCTGGGGCCACCGGTGTCACATGTGAACATGTGGGGCCTTCTCAGCTAAAAACACAGAACTGAAAATGCACGCGGAAAATGGAAGTTCCACTTTGGAACTGATCTTCTTTTGAAATGGGAAACATGAGGCTTTAATATGAATGGAAGGGAATGAAAGCCCAGTGGTTTTTCCAGAGGTAGAGCTCAGATGGAAGGAAGATGAACCTGGGTCTGCATTTCAGACCCAGCGGCAGGAAACCTCTTCTGCCCAAGAGCGCTGGCGGGCACGATGGCCCCCGCACAGGGGCACGGGCGTCCTGTCGACACTCCGTGTGCTGTGACCTCGGCGGCCAGGGGGCTCAGACAGGAAGGAGGCGGCAGGCACCGGGAGGTGGGTCCTGGAGATCCTCCTTTCTCTGTGAAGAGGAGCTTTGTTGGCGCTAAAGACTGAGCCAGCAGCAGGCATGACTGGGGGAAAATGATGTCTGCAGATTTGTTGCAGAATGATTTAGTGTTAAATGAAAAACAGAGTTCCAGGACGCTGAG